AATATTTCACTGCAATTATTTTGTATGGTAAAGAACAAAATGGCATTGTTAAATAAATTAATCTGAATAACTTGTGATGTCATACCTCAAAATAAAAATAAGTCAACACACATGTTGGAAAATATTTTTAGATGATTATTTAGAAACATACAATTATTTTTCCGTATTTGATTTTGTTTCGATGGTGATATAACTAACCCTGGAAACATATAATGGTAAAGATAACATTAAATGTATGAAATTTAGAATATGCATTGGTGGAAGTGCTTTATAAAGTGCACTGTCCTAGACCAGAAGTGTAATTATACATTATACATAATTATGACTATAAATTTCATTCCTATTTTGTTTAAGCAGTGCATAAATGCACAAATTTAATTGCTTTTCACAGTCAAGGTAGATGCCTTTAACAATTTTCATATAACAGTGGCTGCTTCAAAGTGGTGTCACTTCATTATTTCATTTGTATTTCACACAAATAATATTAATCACAAATCAAGACGTGGATGAAAGATAAATTCACCAATGGCTGTCCTGAGAAAGAAAGGAATTTCTTCATCCAAGACAAATTGTCTATAAGATCCAGCTTTTAAAAGGCATTCTTTTGTAATTGTTTATTTTTCAGAGATATTACATAATACATAAACATGTCATTAATAATTCATATGTATGAACCTCATTGTGTAATTTGAGAAAAATATGTCTTAAACTTCTTAAGAAATAGCGAGAAACCACTCAATCGTAAAAAACCCACGACGGCCGGTAGGCAGCCCTATACTTTTTTTCAATCAGATTCGCAAATAAAACGTGCAAAGCAATTGATCAGAGAGACCCGTCCGATATTTCTTCTGAAATAGCGATAACAAGAAATATCTCTGGACTACAGACAGACAGGCGACTGACGATTTCAACAGAAAATAACCTTATTTTCGTATTTTATTCGACCATTCAATGAATACTATTTAAGATGTTTGATAGCCCTGAAAAGTTAACTTTTGAATTAATTACATAGGTACAATTTGATATGAAATATACATGTATAATCCGTATAGGTGGAAACTCTGTTTTATACTCATACACCAACACAAGGATAAATTGCATAAATGAAACCAGCGTTATTTCAAAAACGTATTCAGATATTACATAATATTTCTAACCAGCTTCTTTATATGAGCCATATATCCAGGATATGTGACATGTTGACACAAACTAACGAATATATGATCAAATTATCACAGGTAACTCACTGACCAGACTATCGTCACCAGGATCGATATAAGCTGTAAAACAAACACTCATAGTTCAGGTTCTGCGTGATTGCGCAGCCGCAACCCAAGTTCACTGCCTGAACAATACAATCATGCGGGATCTGCGTGAGTTGCCAATCTGTATTATACGTCTCTGTCAATAACAACTTGATAACACGTTTCACTTCCGAGTGTTAATCACATGCAATATTATAGGATCTATTGCGTAACGTTCGTAGATGTGGAAGAACCCACTCCCGTGGCATTATAAAACAATCGGTAATTGAAAAAATATAACGAAACATGCTTGTTACGATCTTAGGTTTATTCATACATAATTTTATACATATATACTTCAACGGAACGGAGTTTTGAACACCACATCCTTAAGCAACGGGGACAGATAACATACGGAAATCTTACTGTTAAACATGATTCATACAAACACACATTTATTTTTGCCAACAGAGAAAACAAATAACACACACGTCTATGTCTGATCTTTTCCCCGTACACGTGTAACGTGGTAGCGAACCGTCGTATAGCGCTCCAGCACAGGTAGAACATACTTGTGCGGTGATGCGTGAAGTCCCCTGCTATGTACACTGGTCCGCGGAAGCGGGCTGTCGTAGCGCTCCATGACAGGTAAGAGCTACTTGTGCGGTGAGGTGTGAAGTCCCCCAGCTGTGCCCCTAGTCGAGCGTCAGTCTAATTGGTGAGTTAGATAACAAGGCTGTCAGGGAAATTTAATTGACGACCTTCTAATTTCCTCAGGATTTGTCCGGATATAATTGACGCACGTCTAATTTCCTAACGCACAACTAATATTACGGCGACAGCTTGAAATAAATCACGTTGTCGGAGTATACTCGTCAAACGTCTAAAAATCCGGATATCGGCAAGCAGAATAGTTGTAACAGGGTTACCAGTGTTGATGGAGGAGGTTTTTAAGGTGAAATAAAAGAAATCAAAGCTAACAAATGAATATTGCATCGGTATTTACATTTCTGTTAGCCCAGCAAATATGGAGGCGGAAGGAAACAAGACTCACATCATAGTACATGTAAAATGTATATTTTGCTTCCTTGCGATACTTTTTGAAGTCCTAATGTCAAACGTCAAGCTCAGCTATATGGGCAGATTGCTTCTTGATGATTATAGGGGATATATTGCCACAAGATGGGGCCCTTACTGACCTGTCAGTGATCTAGTTAATGTATGGAAGAAATGAGACATTTTACAGAGGGGTCTCCTATCCAAGATACAAATGATTTTATTAGCTCAGCTGGTCTGAAGAACCATGGTGAGCTTATGCCATACCACAGCGTTCGTCGTCCGTCAACCGTCGTCTGTCCGTCAACTTTTCCTTTAAAAAGCTATTTGGTCTGGATCATCCTTGGGGCAGAGGGGCGGGGCCAAATAGGGAAAACATAGCAAATTCATCAAAATCCTTCTTTTGCTGTAGGAATGACCGGATTGTGTTTAATTTTGTATGAAGCACTTTTCGGTGAAGGGGAACCAATATTGTATAAACGGTGGGCCTGACCCCCCTTGGGACAGAGTGGTGGGCCCAATAAGGGATATAGAGGAATAGCTTGAATATCCTTTTTCTTCCATTGGGATGAAGGTATTTTGACCAAATTTGAACAGTAGCATCCTATTGGGAAGGGAATCAATTTTGTATAAATGATGGGACTGACCCCCCCTCCCCCCCAGGGGCAGAGGGGCTGGGCCCAATAGTGGAAACATAGCAAATTCTTCAAATTCTTCCTTTTCTTGTCGGAATGACAGAATTTTGTCCAATTGCATATACATATAACCCCTGACTGACTATGTAATACATGTACAACTGGCTATTTCAACTTTAATTTTGCTAACATTTCCAGGTTAGCGATACAGGCACTCTGGGCCTCTTGTGTAAAGAATGGTAGGTAGATCTGGATATACAGGTACCACTCACCTCCCCCTTACGGTGATTTTGGAATAATCCTTACCTGTTTTATAGAGGTGATAATACTGGATACATAATCCAGGAAAAAGTCTGAACTATACTATTTCTGAAAGAAATCCATACCTTGCAGGATTGTATGAACGAATAGTAAAGATGAAAAAATGAAAGTGTTCTGGTTGTAAATATTCAACTTTACTAAACCGGGATTTGAACCCTGGACCTCAGATTGTTATACTGTTGCTCTAACCGATTGAGCTACTTGTCATCAAAAGTGTCCTGGCCCAACTGTTCTACAGTTACATCTAAATGGAAGTTAGGGGAGTTTTACTGTATATAGGAAGTTCACAGAGCAGTGGGACAGAGATACTTAAGGAAGTTAAGGAGAGTTTTACTGTATATAGGAAGTTCATAGAGCAGTGGGACAGAGATAGTAAAGGGGGGTTTTACTGTATATAGGAAGTTCACAGGGCAGTGGGGCAGAGATACTTAAGGAAGTTAAGGGGAGTTTTACTGTATATAGGAAGTTCATAGAGCAGTGGGACAGAGATAGTAAAGGGGAGTTTTACTGTATATAGGAAGTTCACAGGGCAGTGGGACAGAGATACTTAAGGAAGTTAAGGGGAGTTTTACTGTATATAGGAAGTTCACAGAGCAGTGGGACAGAGATAGTTAAGGGGAGTTTTACTGTATATAGGAAGTTCACAGGGCAGTGGGACAGAGATACTTAAGGAAGTTAAGGGGAGTTTTACTGTATATAGGAAGTTCACAGAGCAGTGGGACAGAGATACTTAAGGAAGTTAAGGGGAGTTTTACTGTATATAGGAAGTTCACAGGGCAGTGGGACAGAGATACTTAAGGAAGTTAAGGGGAGTTTTACTGTATATAGGAAGTTCACAGGGCAGTGGGACAGAGATACTTAAGGAAGTTAAGGGGAGTTTTACTGTATATAGGAAGTTCACAGGGCAGTGGGACAGAGATACTTAAGGAAGTTAAGGGGAGTTTTACTGTATATAGGAAGTTCACAGGGCAGTGGGACAGAGATACTTAAGGAAGTTAAGGGGAGTTTTACTGTATATAGGAAGTTCACAGGGCAGTGGGACAGAGATACTTAAGGAAGTTAAGGGGAGTTTTACTGTATATAGGAAGTTCACAGGGCAGTGGGACAGAGATACTTAAGGAAGTTAAGGGGAGTTTTACTGTATATAGGAAGTTCACAGGGCAGTGGGACAGAGATACTTAAGGAAGTTAAGGGGAGTTTTACTGTATATAGGAAGTTCACAGGGCAGTGGGACAGAGATACTTAAGGAAGTTAAGGGGAGTTTTACTGTATATAGGAAGTTCACAGGGCAGTGGGACAGAGATACTTAAGGAAGTTAAGGGGAGTTTTACTGTATATAGGAAGTTCACAGGGCAGTGGGACAGAGATACTTAAGGAAGTTAAGGGGAGTTTTACTGTATATAGGAAGTTCACAGGGCAGTGGGACAGAGATACTTAAGGAAGTTAAGGGGAGTTTTACTGTATATAGGAAGTTCACAGGGCAGTGGGACAGAGATACTTAAGGAAGTTAAGGGGAGTTTTACTGTATATAGGAAGTTCACAGGGCAGTGGGACAGAGATACTTGAGGAAGTTAAGGGGAGTTTTACTGTATATAGGAAGTTCACAGGGCAGTGGGACAGAGATCCTTAATGTTACTTTTAATGTGTTACATAAAAGTTTCTGAAAGAGAAAGAAACATAAATCATTACCTTGGATTTAAGCAGGCTGTTACCAATTGCCAATTTCTAAAATTTTCTCTTGTAGTTAAAAAAGTACTACGAACCATCGGAGGATGTGAACCCACCAATGAAACTTGACATGTGTATTTGTGCTCAGGGAGACCAGGTCTACCTTCAGGAACCACTGGTATACCATTGCTCTATCACCTGAAAAAACCTGAACTTGTTAAAATATTAGATGTTTTAAATCCTGCAAAAGTAGTTTTGTGGCAAGTTGCCAAGTAAAAGTGATCTGTCTTACCATTAGATAGAGTGAAGTTTTGGAATAGTGAATGAAGGAATGTTGAGAGTTTTTCCAGATTTAATTATAACAACAGAATCCAGGATGTTACAAGTTCAAAACGGCTACTTTTTATGCCAAAAATAATCTTTTTGGGAAATTATTCTTTTCTTGTATATATATTTTCACTGAATCTGTAAAAACCCAACAAATTAAATCTAATTGTAATGTGTATTATAGAAAAGCATTACATGATAATTTTGACAGATTTAACAGGCATGTCTACGCAATCCTGAGCATAAACAAAATCTATGCCAGTACTAGTGTTGTTAGAAATATTTTGGTGCCTAGATAGACAACAAATGTCACTATATATTCAGTTGCTGAAGACCAATGAATTTTGTTTATAGAATTGATATTGAGACAGTATTTTGTTTATAGATTTGGTATTGAGACAGTATTTTGTTTATAGATTTGATATTGAGACAGTATTTTGTTTATAGATTTGATATTGAGACAGTATTTTGTTGATAGATTTGGTATTGAGACAGTATTTTGTTTATAGATTTGATATTGAGACAGTATTTTGTTTACAGATTTGATATTGAGACAGTATTTTGTTTATAGATTTGGTATTGAGACAGTATTTTGTTTATAGATTTGATATTGAGAAAGTATTTTGTTGATAGATTTGATATTGAGACAGTATTTTGTTTATAGATTTGATATTGAGACAGTATTTTGTTGATAGATTTGATATTGAGACAGTAATAGATTTGATATCGAGACAGTATTTTGTTTATAGATTTGATATTGAGACAGTATTTTGTTTATAGATTTGATATTGAGACAGCATTTTGTTTATAGATTTGATATCGAGAAAGTATTTTGTTTATAGATTTGGTATTGAGACAGCATTTTGTTTATACTATAGATTTGATATCGAGACAGTATTTTGTTTATAGATTTGATATTGAGACAGTATTTTGTTTATACTATAGATTTCATATTGAGACAACATTTTGTTTATACTATAGATTTGATATCGAGTCAGTATTTTGTTTACAGATTTGATATTGAGATAGTATTTTGTTTATACTATAGATTTGATATTTAGACAGTATTTTGTTGATAGATTTAATATTGAGAAAGTATTTTGTTTAAAGATTTGGTATTGAGACAGTATTTTTTTTATAGATTTGATATCGAGACAGTATTTTATTTACAGATTTGATATTGAGACAGCATTTTGTTTATTCTATAGATTTGATATCGAGTCAGTATTTTGTTTATTCTATAGATTTGATATTGAGACAGTATGTGTTTATACTATAAATTTGATATTGAGACAGGATTTTGTTTATAGATTTGTTATTGAGACTGTATTTTGTTTATAGTTTTGATATTGAGACAGTATGTGTTTATACTATAAATTTGATATTGAGACAGGATTTTGTTTATAGATTTGATATCGAGTCAGTATTTTGTTTACAGATTTGTTATTGAGACTGTATTTTGTTTATAGATTTAATATTGAGACAGGATTTTGTTTATAGATTTGTTATTGAGACAGTATTTTTTTTATAGATTTGATATCGAGTCAGTATTTTGTTTACAGATTTGTTATTGAGACAGTATTTTTTTTATAGATTTGATATCGAGTCAGTATTTTGTTTATTCTATAGATTTGATATTGAGACAGTATTTTGTTTATAGATTTGATATTGAAACAGTATTTTCTCAATCACTTACAGGCCCATCTCCTCGGTTGCGTTCAATTGTCACTCCTAAAGATCAGCGATATTCGTCGACAGCAGACCGAGGATGAACCTGAAGATGAGACCCACATCCTTGCTGTCAAGTCGGAGCTGGAGGACATGCTAGAGAGCATTACCCGGAGGATGGTCAAGTCTGAGATGGAGGACTTCGAGCTGGTAATAAACCCTGCTCATTAGCTATGATATTGCTGTCTGGAAGAATACTATTTTTCACATAGCAGAATTGACATCTCAAGATGGCTACACCTGTAGTGTTTAGTGTGACTTTATTAAAAAAATATTCGATTGAATTGGCAGAAGTGTCTTGCTGAAAGAATTAGAAACCAACATTGGCAAGAATACAGATATCAAAGAAAGATGACTGTTCAGAACTTATTTGAATTGTTCATACAAGTATTATGAACTCACATTATTATGTTTCAGTACACTTTTTTGCATGGTCTTCATTGTCCTACGAACACATGTTACATTATGCATCTCCAGAGCTCGAAATTCCCCCCCC